GGGTCAGTGCAGCCTCTGGGCGGGAGCCCTCGGCTGGGCCAGAGGAGGGAGCAAGCCTCCAGCCAGCAGGCACGGCCGGCTGGACCCGGCCGAGTGGGAGTGAGAGGTGGTGCGCACGCCCAGCTTGGAACCCCGGCTTCGGGGATGCAGCTCCCAGGAGGCCCCAGGCCCTGAGCCAAACATGCCGCCTTGTCCCCCAGACAGACGCCCGACTCAAGACGCCCCAAGAGGAACCAGCAGCACCCTGAGAGGCAGACATGTGCAGAGGGGCCCCTGACTCCAGAGCCTTGCCCTGTCCGAAGCTGATGCTGAATTTGTGCTGAGTCCCCACCCACCCACACCCTGAGCTGACCGAGATTCCCAGGGTGGGGGCCCCGGAGGCCCGGCTGGCGGTGGACACGTGGTAGGCAGGCGGGGGCTGGTGCCAGCCCCGCTCGGCGGCCCATCCGCGAATCAGCGATGCCGGGGCGCAGGCAACTGGGCAGGCCTCCGCGGCCACAGCCTGGGCAGGGGTGCTGCTCGGCAGGGGCACCCTGGGGGTGAGCTCCTAAGCCACCAGGCAGGCCGCGGGCCCACCCCGGGGAGGTGCAGAGCACTGGGTGTGTGAGGCCAGAAGAAGCCCTCAGCACGGAGGCTGGAAGGCTCCACAGGAGAAGCCCAGGAAGGAGGCAGGCTCAGTACTGCTGGACCCCCGTGGGCCCAGGGACAGTGCCGGCTCCCTCGAGGGTCACCAGAGCACGTGGGCCTGTGCGGGGGCGGGGGGGGGGGCGCTGAGACTCCGTGCAGGCAGTGGCATTTGGAGATCAGAGAGGCGGGGCAGTGCGGCTGCAGGGAAGGCTGCGGAGAGCTCAGCAGGGCAGGCATGGGAGCGGTGGCGGGGCGTGCGCCCTGCGTGGGGCCCACACGACAAGCTTGCGAAGGACAGCACCGACCTTCTCAGGGTCCATCAGGCAGAGCTGGGTGGTCAGGGCTGCCCGTGGGTCAGTCCCAGGCTGGGGAGCGGACACCTGAGGGACTGTACCGGGGGCCGTGGTGAGGTGCTGGCCAAGAAGCCGCCAAGGGGCCACGTGCCCATGTCACAGCGACCGCGCCTATCTGCGAGGGAGCCAGACAGCAGGAGGGCTCAGGCGGGAGCCTGTGGCCCCGAGGCCTTGCACACGTGTGGCGTCCTGCTAGGCCCCAAATGCCCAGGGGGACAGGCGTGTGCCTCCAGCAGGTGGGGGAGGTGTGGCGGGAACAGCCCGCAGACCGGGCCGGCCCTTCCTTCACGCCTGCTGCACCCCAGGGAGAACTCGGACCCACCCCCTGCTCCAGAGGCCGTGCCCACACTGGGAGCCCGGTGTGGGGGCTGGAGGCCTGGCAGCAAGTAGCGTCCTCCCCGGGTCCCGCCTGCCCACGGGGCTGGCCACTGGCAGCGAGAATAGCCCGCTCCCGCTCCATGCGGATAGGGTCCCCCATCAGCACCCCCAGCTGCCGCCCAGGGCAGGACCGACGCCCCTAGCGCAAATATTTCCTCAGAGACACAGTCATGAGGCCTAAAAATAAACCCAGAACCCGAGGACCCCCAGGAGCGTTCCTGGGCCCGTGTCCCCAGGCTGGGTGGTCATGTCCAGCTGGGCACGTGATGAGGTCAGCATAGGGCACAGAGGGCGCCCCTCCCAACAGGCCCACCCCGGCCCATCCCCCGGGGCCAGTTCCTCCCGTGATGAGCAGCCTGGACCCCCTGCCCTGGGCCCCTGGGACACCCAGGAGCTTCTCGTGCCTTGCGCTGTCGCCGGGTGTGGGGCGGGGCCTGCTCTCCCCTCCCCAGCCCCGCAGGGGTACCCAGCTCCGTGAACAGCCTTGGCCCTGTCTGTACCTTCACCTCACAGCAGCCCCCGCCCCGGAGGCCAGCAGGTCCCCGTACGGCCTGGCCTTGTGCCCCGGGCCTGGGCAGCCCCCCAGCCCCTTGTGGGGCCGGCCCCTGCAGCAGGTCGGGGACCTCAGAAGCCTCAGAGGCGGGGCAGCCTGGCCGTCACCTGTGGGCCCCTAACCCCAAGCCCTGAGTCCCAGGCCAAAGCCGATCTGTCCCCATCCTGTGTCCTGACTGCATATCCCATGTTCCTCTCCTGTGTCCCAGATCCTGCATTCCGTCCCCGGTCCCCTGGCCTGACCCCAGGACGAGGCTCTGATCTCGTGCCAGCCCTCCCGACCCATCCTTGTGGGCCTGAGGCCCCCACTCTGGACAGCTGTGGGATGAGACTCCACTTTGAAGCCAGGATGGTGGGAAGCGTGCGGGGGGGTCACACCCAAAGTGTTAGAGCACGAGCTGCCCTTTCAAGTCCTCCAGGCTTCGCGGGAACCGGCTTATCACCACACAGGAATGGATCAGAGGGAAGGGTGCTGGCCCGGCTCAGGACTTGGGGCTCCACCCACCCCGTACACCAGCACCCCCACCAAGGACACCAGCAGCGTCCTCCCGAAATGGCCCGTCAGAAGGCTCCATCCAGCCTGGCTTGGCCTGGGGTCACTCTGAGGACACACCTGGATCCCTGTCCTCTGCCCCCAGACCGGGAGCCCCCTGGACAGGGCCCCGGAGAACGAGGCACTGTGCTCTCAGTGGGGGTCCCCATAGCTTTGGTAGTTGCCCACTGACCTCTCTGCCCATGTAGGGGTGACCATGGAAGGGCAGGAGAAGCCCACCCCCCCACGCACCCCATCTGTCTGTCCCTAGGGCCCCATCCTGGGTGGGGGACCTCATCCTTAGCACCAGCTAAGTCTCCTCTCTCTGCGCCGGGCTTGGGAGTCCCTGAAGGGAGACAGGGCACCTGCAGAGACACAGATGTGGGCTCAGCTATCGGGTGGAGGAGGGCAGAACGGCCAAGGTCCCAGAGAAGCCCCACTGCTGGCCAGTCCGCAGACATCTGGCGAGGGCCAGCCCTGGGACCCTCAGAGGGGCACCCTGTCTTTAACATGCTCTGCAAGTCGCAGCCCCCACAACCAGGACCAGCGCCCACGCTCCCCAGCCTACCCTTCCCCCATGCCCTGGACCCACCGGTCTGTCCCCACTGCTGTCCCCACTGCTGTCCCTCCATGGGAGAGGACTCAGAATGGAGGGGACATTAGCCGGGGTCAAGGGGCATCGGGTGGGCACTGAAGTCTCCCAGGAGCCGCACAGTGTAGAGCTGGAGGCAGCCCAGGCAGGGGAGGGGCGCCCACAGCTGGGGCTGGGGCTGGGCCAGGTGGCCCCCGAGAAGGGCACGGACAGGGGTCAGGAGTCCCTTGGTTGCTTCAAGAGCAGGCAGCCGAAAGGCCCCAGGGCGTGGCACACAGGTGATGCAGGCATGGACTTGGGGTGACAGGGCGGGGTCTCCTGCTCAGCCCAGCTTCCCCACACGTCCGCAGAGTGAGCAGCCCGTCACTGCCTGCCTCCCCTGAGAACCCCTGAAAGGGGGTGGGGCGCCCAGGGAGGCTGGTTTCCGTGAGGGGCAGCAGGGCCAGGCAGGTCGTTAGCCCCCAGAACTCCCTGGAGCAGATGACGAGGGCAGTTCCCACGGGAGCCCCAGGCTGGGAAGCACACGGGCACCTGTGGCGGCCCTGGGGACTGCACCTTCACCGGTGCCAGGCCGGGGCCACTCACCCCCGTGGCCTGTGGGTGTCCCGTAGCCTGAGTTCTCCCCACCGCCCAAGGTCCACTCTGCATGCCTCCCCCGTCTCAGACCGAAACCCCCCCGGGCGCCGGCCCCCGCAGCCCGGCCCGTCTGGGGAACATCTGTTGTCACCAGCTGTGGTTGTCTGAAGCCCCCACAGCTCCTCCCGGGTTGTTGCAGCTGGGCTCCCACAGCTGGCTTCCCACGGCGTCCAGCGAAGGTGGCCTCGGGCCCCCGGGGCCACTAGCCCTGCCCCAGGCCCCACCACTGCCTGTGAGTCAGGGTCACCCCAGCGGACCTTCCTTCAGGGCTAGCCCCGGCCTCCGTGGGGACAGGAGCGGGGTCCGTCCTGGGGAGGCCAGGGGGTGGGGTGACATCAAGGCCGGGAGGCCCCACTCTGCACTGTGAGGGTCCCAGCGGAGGAGGGCCAGAGCCTGGGGCCTTGCCCTGGGTCGCTAGGGGACAGGGATCCAGAACGGCCTTCGTCTGGGGAAGGGCGGGGAGGGGGCAGGCTTGGCCCTGACTTTGGGGGCCCCAGGTGCAGGGAACTAGAGGTACTTGGGCAGGGTGGCAGGTGCCCTGGGCAGGGGGGCAGGGGGGCCAGGTGGCGGGTGCCTGGCCTGCAGGGTGGGCCTGCTCTCTGCAGCACAGAGGACACCAGCGAGGCCCTGTCCCTCCTGCCACACCTCTCAAGGCTCTGGGCACCTGAAGCACCGCACGTGGGAGGCGTTGCTAAAATCACAATGTCACCTTAGTGCCTTTTCTTAAGAAAGGGCAGAAGCCCTGGGCCAGAGGCAGCAAATCCCAGCCTCAGTTTCCCCATCTGGAGAATGACACCAGTGTTCGTAAGCTGGTGGCAGCCGGCAGACCCTTGGGACTGTGCCTGACAGGGAGCAGGCGCCGGGACGAGGTGACGAGGCCCCAGCCCTCCAAGGCCACCCGCTGAACCCCCAGAGCACAGGCCCCCTGCGCTGAGAGCCCCGAGGCCACACTGGCAGGGGGGACACTCGGCGGGCCAGGCGTGCAGGGATAGCTCACCAGGGAGGAGCCTGCAGGTGTGAGCCAATCAGAGCTGCAGACACGGCTCCCAGAGTTCGGTTCAGGGGGGCTGAGGAGGGGCCCCGGGGACGCCACAGTGTTGGTCCCGGAGACTCAGGCCAACTAGGGGGTCCCTGAGAACCTGCTCCGCTGCTGCTTCCGGGGCCCAAGCCTGGTGCGCAGGCACAGGCACATGCTCATGTGTCCACACCTGTCCACACACAGGCGCGTGCACACACACCTGACACACACTTGTACACAGGGTCACATGCGTGCACACACCTCTACACACACCCGGGCCCACACACGGATGCCAAAGACAGACACACCAGCTTAGAGGAAAGGATGCACATTTTCTCGTTTAACAAAATAAATTAAATATACAAAGCTTCAGCTCAAGATCTATATAAAATTACAGAGGTCTGGGGCTGCCGCCGGCAGTGGGCCATGGGTGTGCAGCCCCGAGGTGGCCGTCAGGCCAGGTGCGTCCCAGGCCCAAGGACAAGCCGGGTCTGCGGCGCCACCTCCCTTCCAGCGTTATTAATATTATTATCTTAATTTCTTAAATATAAATATCGAGGGCCCTTCTCTCTGGCAGCGGGAGGCCGGATGGGGCAGGGTCACCCCCAGCCGGGCTCCAGCCTCTCGGGACACGGCCAGGACTGCTGTGCCTGACTCCTGGCCCAGGGTCCCGGGGGCGGGGCGGGGGGGGGGGGACCTCCTGTACACCCAGACGTGTGGTGGCAAAAATAGCCACCCGCCTGCAGAGGCCCCGGGGAAGGGGCGAGAGGTCTCGGTTCACGAAACCGGGGTGCCTCTCAGATCTCCTGCCAGGGGCGGGGCGGGGGGCTTGACCGGGGTCCCTGTGAAATCCTCCTCACAGGGGCCAAGGGACTCCTTCATCGACCAGCACGCTGCTACATGCACACTGCAAAGGCACAAACAGGCCTTCCTGGAGCATCGTAGTCTGAGGATGTGTGTGCGTGTGTGTGTGCGTGTGTGTACATCCAGAGCTAGGCCACACACGCATGCGTGTCACACACACCGGGCACCCCGGGGTGCTGGCGGCATCTCCCGCCTGCGGCTCAGCCCCCTCCGCGGCCCTCCCCCCGAGCCTGCCTGCCCACCTTGACCTCCACTGGCACCCGCGGCTGCAGCGGGCTGGCGCCCCAAAGGCGTCACCATCTAGCACTGGTAGTGGATGTGCTGGTGCTGGTGGACCTTGCCCTCCACGTGAGAGTGCGTGTGTGAGTGCGTGTGTGTGTGCGTGTGGGTGTGCACATCTGTGTAGAGCTTGGGGTAAAGCCTGGGACCGGCCGACGGGCCGGGGCCCAGCAGGTGTTGGGGGCCGGCTGGAGGCCCCAGCTCCTCACACAGCCCCACGCCAGGGGTGGTGCCGAGGCCGGATGGCACAGGCAGGTCCTTGTCCCCGCCACGGTCGCGGGCGGTGGCCGGCGGGCGGTGTGCGGGCGCAGCAGCGGCGGGCGCGGGTGCACACGGCTTCTTTTTGGCCTGGCAGAGCCACAAGAGCACGGTGCCCACGATGAACACGGCACCGGCCGGGATGCCGATGACCACGGGCCACGGCAAGCTGGCGGTCGGGGCCGAGGGGGCCACGGGCGGCCCTGGCGGCTTGGGGTCTGCGAGAGAGAGCGGGGAAGGGGGCGGGAGACGCCGGTCACCACGGGGCCGCTGGCGCGGACGGGCGGGGGCGCGGCGGGGGCGGGGCGGGCGCACCTGGCAGCACGGTGAGGAAGGCGCTGCGGAAGCTGTAGCCCATGGTGTTGGCGCCCAGGCAGATGTACATGCCGGCGTCGTCCTGCCGGGCGCGGGCGATGAGCAGCTTGTTGAGGTAGGAGCCGTCGGGCCGCGACCACACGTCGCCCGTGGGCAGCACCACGAACTTCTGGCCGCCCACGTCGATGGTGGAGTTGTAGCGGCCCTCGGCGCCATACTCCACGCGCTTCAGCCACTGGATCACTGGCTTCACGTCGCTGCGCACTTTGCACTGGAAGGACGTGGTGCCCCCAAAGTCCACCGTCGTGTTCACAGGGTGCGTGCCCGTGAGGACCGGCTTGGAGCGCGTCCGCTCTGCGCGAGGACACGGCGCGTCGGGGCACGCCCTGGGCACCGCCGGCTCCCCGCCCCCCCCCCCCCCCGGCCGGGCACTCACGGATCACGTCCACCTTGTAGGTTGCGTTGATGGCGCCCGCCCGGTTCGACACGCGGCACGTGTACTTGCCGCTGTCCTCGGGACGGAGGTTCTTCAGGCTCAGCGTCCACTTCTTCCTCCTGTGCTCGCCGGCCTCCGAGCCCGTCAAGGCCTGGTCGTCCTTCGTCCACGTGATGTCAGGCCGCGGGTGCCCGCTGGCCACGCACTTGAGCCGCACGGAGCTGCCCACCGGCCGAGCGATCACCCGGCGCCGCATCTTGGAGGGCTGCGTGAAGCGGGGCCGGGCTGCGGGACGGGGAGGCAGAGAGGTCAGCAGGGCACCGGCAGGGCCTGCCCCCACCTGCCCCTAAGGGGGTGACGTCTGCCCCGTCTCACCCCACTGCTTGCTGGCTGGGTCCTCCTGGCCCCCAGAGGAGCCATCGTGCCCCAGACGCTCCCTTCCCGGGCCAGTGTCATCTGCGGAGAGGAGGGCACGTGAGAGGGGCCCCAGGCGTCCCCACCCAGACCCCAGCCTTGGGCCCAGCTGGGAAAGCTCTAGAAACACAAGTGGAAGCCCTTGGGAGCACACCCACATCTCAGAATCCCCGAGACAGCTGGGCAAGAGCTGCCCGCCCAGCCGACTCCCTGGGTGCAGGTGACCCCAACAAAGCCGGCCCCCCCACCCTGGCTCCGGGGGGGCTGCGATGCCCAGTGGGAGGAGGGGGCCGGGCCCCGCCGGCAGCTGCAGTAACCCTAGCCCACATCAAGGGGCCGAGGCCTCGGCGAGCTGACGCGGCTCACATACCGCCTAGTCATCCTCCCCTCTCAGAGGACAGTGGGGGGGACACACGCAGCGTTCCCATTCCACAACCCAGAGCAGGGGCGCCGCGGGGTGGGGCAGGCTGAGGAATGCCCCCCCCCGCCCGGGACAGCCGCCTCCACCCAGCCCGGGACCCAGTGGGGGAGGGCACAGGTCAGCCGCCCCCTTTGTGAGACGGGCCACCACGGCTGCGAGGGAGCCCCACCCCAGGGACCCACCCCAGGAGCCCGTGGGGGAGGGCCAGCCGTGCGCCTGGGACGGTGAGCAGAGGGTGTGTCGCTGGGGACCCCGCCAGTCCCCAAGCCCGGGCCCCAGAGGCAACAGAACAGAGGCCCTTGGCGGTCCCTCTGAACTCTGAAATCTGAGCCTCAAAGTTAGAGCCGACACCCAGGCCGCCAGCCCGCCCAGCCCGCCCTTCAGTGGGACCCCCACCCTGGGGCCCCCCCATGCCCACTCCGGCCGCCCCCCAGCCGTCTCCTCGTCAGCAGGGCTTGTGGGAGGAGGGGCCTGGGAGGAAGGGGACCCCGAGGGACAGGCCCGAGAAGGGGGGGGCCCGGGCGGGGGTGGCGACAGAGGTCAAGCCCCTGTCCTGGGCCCAGAGCAGGCAGAGGGGGACGGGTCTCCTCCCGGTAGGCAGGGGGCCGCGCTCAGGCAGGGGTGGGGCTGGCCGGGGGCTGGGGGGCCCCCACGGCGCAGCCCCGCCCCGCCCCCACTGACCCATCACGATGAGGGTGTAGTTGACGCTGAGGCTGCCGAAGCCGTTGGTGGCCTTGCACACGTAGGCGCCCGCGTCCTCCCGCTCCACCTCCTTCACCTTCAGGCCCTGGGGCAGCACGCGGAAGCGGCTCCAGCCGCCGTGGATGGTGCGGCCGTCCTTGGTCCACATGGTCAGCGGCGGCGGGTCCCCCTCCACAGGGCACTGCAGCCGCACGGTGCGGCCCAGACGGGCCACCTGCCTCGGGACCACCTTGTCCGCCATCCTCGGGGGGCCTGTGAGGTCAGAGGGCTCGGTCAGAGCGGAGGCAGGCGGTCAGGAGTGCCGGCAGGCGGGGCTGCCGGGGGCCAGGGGAACAGGGCCGTCCCTGCCGGGCCCCCACGCGGGACCCCACCCAGGTACACCCGCCCGGCACAGGCGTGGGGGCCTGAAGCCCAGGGCCCTGCTCCCAGGCCACGGCCGCTGGCATTCAGCCTGGAGCCACGGCACGCCGGGCCCGCGCCCGCTGAGCTCCCACGGCGGCCCCCCGAGCGTCCGTCGGGCGCCATCGCACGGCAGGCCGAGTACAGGCCGGCGGGGCAGGGCCCCCAGGGCGCACGCGCACAGGCGAGCCGGGGGGGCCCTCACGGCCTCCCGCACACAGCGAGCGTCCGCGGCGCAGTGTGCGTACGAGTGAGCCCGTGGGGCACGGCAGGTGCGTCATGGCAGGTGTGTCTGGCTGGCGGCCCACATTTGTGCCTGTTTGTGCATGGGCCCCCCCTCCCCCCGCTCAGGTCTGTCTGTAAGGCTTCCTGTACCAGTCACGCCACACCAGGTGGCTCACCCCCGGGCAGGGCATGTGGGGGCGCATGACCCCAAGGCCCTGGGGTCACAGGGCGAGCGGCAAGTGTGCCAGCCCCAAGTGCACGGTTCTTGGCTGCCTGGTGGCCACTGCCCACTGGCCCCCAACGGGAGGAGCCCAAGATGTGGGCTGAGGCCACGGGGCCCTGAGCCACGAGAAGAAAGCCACTCCCACCCGTTAGGCCAGGGCCAGCCTCGGCGCCTCTGCCCGAGTGCAGGGCCAGCGGCGGTGACTGGGCCGCTGGGAGGGCACTGCAGGTGGCTGAAGAAACAGGGCCGTCTCCCGGCCAGCCCTCAGGGCCCCTGTCCCACGCCCGCGCCTCCAGGCCTGGGCCAGTCCGCGGCCCCTGCACCGGGGTGAGCACGGCGGGTGCTGGGCCCGTACAGTCCCCCACCCGCTGTTCGCCCCAGACCAGGAGAGGCGGCTGCAGACACCCGGCTGCCCCTCCCAGGAACCTGCCTGGGCCCAGCTCCCAGGACCTCACCCGCCAGCCGTCGGCGAGGGGCACTCAGCCCACGGAGCGGCCGCGCAGGCCGGGAGGGCCGGCGCCCCACGTCCCGGCCCTCCCGGAGGGGTGCCAGGCGGCCGCGGCCGCTCGGAGAGGCTACCGCTACGGAGCCGGAGGGCGGCATGTGGTTTTAATAACCAGCTGGTGTTTCTTCAACATGCAATTACCAGCTGGCTACCTCGCCGGCCTTTGCATCCAGGACCCACAGTGCTTCCGTGGCTCTTCGGAGGCTCAAGCGGCAGCTTCCTGTCCGTCACCTCCCACCCCCGGGGGACCCTTGCAGAGCACAGCCCCTCACCACCGGCCTGCAGGCGCTGAGGGGAGGTGGGGGCTGGTCCCCATGCGGGTAGACCAGGGTCCAGGCAGGGAGGGGCCCTGAGCTCCGACTGCAGCTTTGCCGGGGCGATGGGGCAGTAGAGGGCACAGCAACACTGGGCCCTTCCGTGGCCACAAACAAGAAGGCCCTACCCAGCCCCCACCCACAGCCTCACCCACGCCACCCGCCGCCCCAGCCCCCCCAGCCCCCCCCCCCGGGCTTTCAGCAACGCTTCTTCCCTGCACCCGTATTCTGCCTCTACCGGGGAGCCTCCGCCCTGCCGCGGGCTCCTCACAGGGCCCCGTGGGCCCCAGGCCGTCTCTGCACTCCCGGCCAGCCCCCCGCACCAGCACCCCGGTACCCCTGGAAGGGGCAGGAGGGGCAGAGAGGGCCGCCGAAGCCTCGCTCCCCTCATCGCTCAACTGCCTGTGGGGCCCCCCCAGCCCGCCCAGTGCCCCGGGCCTCCTGGGCTGACACCTGGGCACACAGACACCCGTGTACACACACACACACACACACACACACACACACACACACACACGAAACTGCCTGGGAAGCGGAGGGAGACAGCGCCTCGTGGCCTGAGGAACGGTGTCCCTCTCCGCCTCTGACTGTCCCGATCCCATCCTGGGGGCACAACACGGGGCCGGTCCGTCGCCTCCGGCCCTGGGAGGAACCGGCCTCGGTGACAGAGGAAGGACCCATCTGACAGCGCTTGCGGGCAAGGGGGGGCTGCGGGAGGGGCCGCCTCCAGCCCAGGCCCCTCCCTGCACCAACAGGACAGTCCGAGGAGTTGGGGGACCGAGCATCTACTGCGGCTCAGAGGCCACGGGCCCCTTGGTCACTGTGGACAGGGGAGGAGGACGACACACTGGCTGCCAGACGGACCAGAAGTGTGGCCCCAAGGGCAGGCCCACAGGCAGGCGGGGGACGGGTGGACAGGGGACGGGCGGACAGGGGACGGGCGGGCAGGGGACGGGCAGGCGGGGGACGGGCGGACAGGGGACGGGCAGGCGGGGGACGGGCGGACAGGGGACGGGCAGGCGGGGGACGGGCAGGCAGGGGACGGGCGGACAGGGGACGGGCAGGCAGGGGACGGGCGGACAGGGGACGGGCAGGCGGGGGACGGGCAGGCAGGGAACGGGCGGACAGGGGACGGGCAGGCAGGGGACGGGCAGGCAGGGAACGGGCGGACAGGGGACGGGCAGCAGCAGCCAGAGGCCCCAGCTGGAGCCAGCCTTATCCTAAAGCAAACAGCCCCCTTCCCCTCCCCCCGGGCCAGCCCCGCCCCACCCCCACCTGGGCTCTACTAGACCCCAGGCCTGCCCTGCCCCCCCCCCCAGATTCCTGGGAATTTTGGCCGCCAACACCAGGGCCACGGTCTATATTTAGCCTGGGAAACACAAGCCCCCATTGTTCCACCTGGTCAGGGTGTCCCACCCACTCAGCCAGGGGGAAACTGAGGCAAGAGCTGAGACAGATGGGTGCCTGGAGGGCATGGGGGGGTCCCATCCCCACCCAGGAGGAAAGCCTGATGGCTCCAGGACAGCCTGGGGGCCCTGGCAACAAGGCCTCAGTCTCCACTGCGTTCCTTCCCATGCATCAGCCCCTCCCCACGAGCACCTCCTGCAGAAAGCCCTTGACCCTGCGCACAGCCTGAGCCACAGCCCCGGGGAGTCTGGGGCACCAGCAGGACGTGGATGGTCACACGGAGGGGGCAGACGGGGGCGTAAACAGAGGCTGGGGCTGAGTCTCGCCCCTCAAGGGGCTGAACATCAAGGTGGCAGAGAATGACCACATCCCCCCGCGACCCTCTGTCCTTCCTGCCCTCCTCCCCCACAGCTGTGAAAACACGGCCGGGAGTCGGGGTGCCAGGGAGGCCAGGGTGCGGCAGCCTGGAAGGCCCCACACATCCAGCCTCCCCAGCCAGGCTCCCGAGCTGCCGTCCAGCCAGGATTCAGGTATCACACGCACACCCGATCAGGCCACCTCCCAGCACTCTGTCCCCCAGACGCACAAGCTGTCCCCCAGACGCTGCCCCCCCAGACTCTGGCCCCCCAGATGCTGCCCCCCAGACGCTGTCCCCCCAGACACTGTTCCCCCCCAGACGCTGTCCCCCCGACGCTGCCCCCCCAAATGCTGCCCCCCCTCAGACGCTGGCCCCCAGACACTGTCCCCCCTCAGACGCTGGCCCCCAGACGCTGGCCCCCAGACGCTGTCCCCCCAGACACTGTGTCCCCCCAGACTCTGGCCCCCCAGACGCTGCCCCCCAGACGCTGCCTCCCCAGATGCTGTCCCCCAGACGCTGCCCCCCCAGACGCTGCCCCCCCAGACGCTGCCCCCCCCGACGCTGCCCCCCCAGACGCTGTCCCCCCCAGACGCTGGCCCCCAGACGCTGTCCCCCCAGACACTGTCCCCCCAGACTCTGGCCCCCCAGACGCTGCCCCCCCAGACGCTGCCCCCCC